GCGCCACTCTCCCTCACTAACCTGAACTGTGCTACGGACCATATGAGGTAAAACTGAATATGTAAAGAACAAACAAAAGCACCTACTTCCATCTACTGAACCGTTTCCTGTGCGGGCAGCAGGGCGGGAAAACAGCCGCGTCCCCAAAAACCTCCCGATGCATTCGTTAGTTCAACATTCAAAAGAAAACGGAACACTGATTCGCTTTCTTGCCGAGAGTTCCTCACGAGCGCTCTGATTCAACCTGTGGCCAACACACGCAAGCAGTCCGTTAGCTTAGCCTAGCTTAGCACAAAGACTGGAAACAGCTAGCAGCCCAACACTCGCGATGGGTTTGCATCATCCGTATAAAGTGTAAAATCAACAACTTTGCTTTGATTACTTATTATTCTTCAGGAAGTAGCGCCACATGTGTCACCTCATGAACGGACAAATTGTGTTTACAGTTGGGGATAGCGTGTTGCTCAGTGACCTTTAGCAGTGCTGGTATGCACATGGTGACAGCTGTTTCCCGTCTGTATGCTATGCTAAGCTAAGCTAAGCTAAGCGGCTGCTGGCTAAAGCTTCATATTTACCAAACACATACACAAACCTTCTCCTCTAACTCTCGGCATGACAGCAAATTTCCCAAAAATGGCGCCGTGTGGACGAGACAGATTTGCGATTGGCAGCTGGTGTCGTTTTCCCGCCCTGCTGAGTACCATCAGTCAGAGACGCAAACAAAGAAATGTACTGGAACATCTGTACCTGTTGTAACGAATAAATAATATGCAGAATATAAAATGAAAATGCTTTAAGAGTTCCCGTTGCATTAGTGCACTGATAAACCCATACTGGCGCAGTACCGCGGCTGTGTCGCCGTCGTATCGGGAGCAGAGTGTGTCGCTGAGCGCCGTGCAAAAGGACAATCCAAAGGACGCCGTCGTACCCGGAAACAAGCACGGGACTTGTGCAAAGCCACTCTGAAGCTAAAATGGACCCAGCCACGAGCTCGTACCATTTGAGGGGCAAAATTGGGTAAATTAATTAAAAAAATAGAAATTTTCTACCACAACTTTGTCCAAAATGTAGTAAGTTTACGGTGCCGAGGAAGGATTACACATTGGGTTAAAAAAAAAAAAAGACAATAATAATAATAAATGATGAAACTTAATATTTTAACATAAAAGATCCAAGTCTGTACCGTAATGCCTTTGCTTTGAATTCCAACTTCCCTTTTTTGTTTTCTTTAATACCGTACGGAGAAGCAGAACCATCTGATAAAAGGACTATCAGCGCTCGTGTTGACGCCCCTCAGTCAAAGTTCACTGACTGCCGTTGGATGAATCAGTCTGTTGAACCGGAGGAGAGCAGCACGCTGGCAGCATCGATCGCAAGAGGGGAGAAATGACGGGGGGAAAAAAATCAACTAAACGGGACGAGATATGCATATAAAACACAAGAAAAATAAAAGATGAAATACACTTAAAAAAAAAAAACTGCAAGCGTTTTTTTTGTCATGTTGTGATGTTTGTTGTTGTTGTCGTCTGCGTCCAGGAGGGAGCAGCTCCTCAGTCTGAGTGAAGGTCGGAGGTCAGCGGCGGGAGGCCAACGGTCACAGGCAGAGTCCAGGGCCCGAGCAGAGAGATGAGGATGAGGAGGAGGAGGAGGAGGAGGAAGAGGCAGCATGTGGGGAACCTCTGTCGCTCAGTCTGAGGGAGGAAACGAGAGGAGAAGATCATCAGTGAGTAATCCACCTTCAGAAACACACAGAAGAAACTCGACAGTGGAGTTTTCATTCCAACACTGGGCGACATCTTTTCTGTGACAGTTTGAGCATCAAACAGGTTAAACGTCTGCATGCTGGTGACTTTTTATTCACCAGTTTCTGCTTTTCTACATCAATTTATGATGGAAATTTCTATTTATTTGTGTAAAGGAACAACAAAAAGTTCAGGAACCAGGAGACAAATCAAAATATAATGAAACATAATGCAGTAAAGCTCTCCAGCATCCTGTTACTGTGAAGTATTTATTCTCCTACACATCAAACACAAAAAGACTTCTTTCATTTTATGGAAGTACAGCTCACAGGTGATCACGTGCAAAGCCTTGTGCACATTTAGGACGGTTCTATTTGTCTTTACTGTGAAGTGGATTTGGGACTTTTGTTTGGACAAGAATGTGAATATAAAAGGTAACGTCAGGAGCATTTTTTGGACGAAACTGTTAAAATAATCACAATTAAAAAGAATTTAAATATAAAAAATAGCAGCTGTAAAAAGGAGAAGCATTATTAAAAAAGCCCGATGTGACACATGGACAGGTTCAGTCGTTCTGGACTGACGGTCTGAGTTGTTTCTGGTCATTGGGAGGCCGACTGGTGCCGGCTAACTTTGACTGGAGTCCGTCTGGCTGACTGCCACAGGGGGGTGAGGTCCTCGCTTCTCCAGGTTTTGGGGGGTTTTCTGAAAGGTAGCGCCCCCCTGCGTGGAACCAGGGTACTGTATCGCCGTTTTAAAGACTCGTTTAATATACAAAAACACAGAAAGGCAGGTTTCTAACTTGTGTGTTGGTTTTTTGGAAATATGAGATTTCCTTCCCGACGGCAGAGTTTTCCCAGTAACCACCAACCAGTGAATTAGTCGACACTAATGTGAAGTGAAGCCGTTTCTTCGAGGTCGCTCGACACAGCAGCGATATTAAAGACTTTGTGATTGTGGAAGCGAGTCACGTGTTTCCTGGCTGTTTATAGTCACAGCAACGTTGAGAGCGTTTGGCTTTTTGCGCCGTTTCTGAAGTATGTTGAGCGTCTGAAAGAGTTTCAGAGGACAGATGTGAGACGTCTCTGTCCGAGCGGGCGGCTTGGCCCGAGCTGCTCGTTGGATAAAAAAATCTGTTTGTCTGGTAAATAAGTGAGCGTGGCCGGTGAACTTTGGATTCTGCCCGCTGCCAGAAGACACACAAACATAAAGTTTGTTTCCTGCCCTGCTATCATGGCCGGGCCGGACTGTCAGGTCGGCTGTTGTGGTGCGGCCCGGCGGCCCCGGGTGACCCTGCCGATGGCCGCCGTCCAGCTGGGTTATTCCACTGAGAGCGAGGCTTTGTCTGACACAACAATGTGAGCAGCACGCCATAATACAGATGCTTTGACAGGGGGCACTGCTGGAATGCTGCTCCTCTGTTTTCTAGCCACGGGGATGGAGGGACGGACGGACAGATGGACGGACAGAGAGGCAGGAGTACAGAGGAGTAACAGTACACAGACCCAGCATGGACGGGAAAACAACCCGGTCCAAACAAACTAAAGCCCAAGAAAGAGAAGAGTCGGTCAACCACTGGACGTCTACGACCGTCTGAACCTAGAGGAAGGTTACTGGGCAGAATGAGACACCGAGAGACGAGCTGAAGTCCAAACGTTAGGACGCAGACAGACTCATTAAATGAAACACTATCATATTATAGGTGCATATTAAGTTTGTCGATTAATCCATTAATCATCCAGCACAGACTGGATAAAGATCTCCATCAAAATAAAACTCAAATACCGACAGTTTGAAACATTCTCAGGTGAATTTCTCACCATTTAAGCTCATTTAACTGTTTGAAAGCTGAAAGTTATTCCATATATTCTTTTTATTTTCTCCTAATAATTTGCCTGCAACGACACGTCGTCCAGCTTTAAGACCTTATGGTTGAACTGAATGTTGTAGAGGATCCGTCGGGTTGCAGAGCTGCATCCACGCAGCAAAACTCATCGGAAATTATTCAGATAATTGCCCCAAATTTTCTTGTTTCTTGAATAAACTGAATATCTTCAGGAGACAAATCAGAGAATTTAAATAACCAGTTGTGGGTTTTCTGCATTTTTATGGAGTCAAAACAGATCAAAATAACTGTAGGCTGCTGTACATCAATGTGCAGACAATCTGCAGAACACAATTCATTGGTTGAGTTTTGCAGCGACATTTACTTTACTTCCATCTGTCAGAACTGTAAACTCTCCTGCAGCTGAACGGACTTTTCCTTTCATTGCTGCTAACTCTGAGGCTTTTATTGTGAAGCAGCCACAGTTTTAGCAGGAATGAAAACGCCACAAAATCCAAACAAATCTGCTGTTTTGGCCTCGTTTGAATGTTGGATATTGGCTTTTTTTCCATCATGTGCAAGCGTTTAAGTATATTTTAAAATGAGATAAAGCTGGATGTTGCATCAGATGACCGGCTTCCTCTGTAAAGTCTCTGCAAAACCCAGAAACACCCGTTTATGAAGGGAGACCAGCACCGGCTCATCAATAAACAATACCTAAAGTTTAAAAGCAGACTTTAACTTCATTTGTTTGCAGATTTGAGGAAACAATCCACTAAGAAGTCTGTAAAATGGTCAGACCAAGCTTCCTGACTGAGAAACGCCCCATGAGATGTACTTTTGCATTTTATTTTGATCATTCTCTTTCCATGGGTGTAAAATCAGAATTATGAGACTTTTTAGATTGTAGCTCATTGCTGTTTCACTTTGGATGTAAAGATGTTTAAAAGTGAATATTTGTCCAAACCTTCATCTGCTTCGTTTGTGGTTGAAAATCCTGACTTTGAAAACAAAGACCTTTTTGTTTTTACGAGGAACTCGCTGGTTCCTCTCAGATGGGACTGAGACTTGCTATCTGCAGGCGAATAACAGTTGAAGCATGTAAAAGTTTTGATGCAAACTTCAGGTTTTTAAATATTTTACTGGAGGGCCACGTTTGGCCCACGGGCCAGTGTTTGCCTACCACAGCGTAGTTATGTGCAAACCAGTTGTGTATTTTCTTAACTTTCTGAATCATTATACTTACACTGCAAACAACAAGCTCTGGCAATACTGCACTTAATTATGGTGGTGACAGTAAAGCAGAGCTGGACTGTGGGTGTGTGAGAGAAAGTCTGAGGTCTCTGGGTTTCTCTGCAGTCCAGGCGTGGACTTTGATCAAAACAACGCTCTCAGGACACGAGCCTCGCTGACCTGAGCTGAACTCGGCTCAACACAAACACACAAACGCAGACACACTCGCCACAAAATCGGGTTATAAAAACAGCAAACACCTGCATTAGCTAACAGCTTGTTGTGTCGTTGAACACATGCAGGTGCCGCGACCCGCCGCCCGTCTCTGTCCGTCCGTCTGGTTCATGTGCACTCCCCGACCCGTCTCCCTCCGTCCCTAAAGCCCATTCAGCCAGCTGGGACAACAGATGAAAGGCATCATGGGAGTGAACGGCGAGCGTAACGTGTTGACCCGACATGGGCCGGCGTGACAGCTGGCCGACGGCCTTTTAAGTGCAGATCGAGGAACGAAAGAGGACGGAAACTTGACCAGGTGCCCTGAACTGCTCGATTCCCTCCCCGCATGTTTGGAAGCTGCTTTATGATTCAAATTCGGGGATTCTGGATTTCGGTTTCGTGAGGCTGTAGATGGGTGGAGGGGGGGTTCAAATCCCCACAGATAGATACCTAAACCTTCTGACCCACATGTGGTTGTCGTATATGTCAAACTGCTCATTAATCAGCTGAGCCCATCCACTGTGCATAACTCTGGATTGCTGTACTCTCCGATTATGCAGCAGTCTGAGTAGAAAAACTCAAACTATCTACCTGATGAATCAGAAATGTAGAGGTTTGCACTCAGTCACCCCAGAGGACATGAGGCACATCAGCATGACAGTTTATGCTAACTTTCCTCATATGTGACGCTGTTTGTACGATGCTGTCGTTCTGGGAGGCAGGAAATGTGCAAACTGTTAATCCTTCAGACGCCATGAAACCCTCAGCAGACTTCATAATGATCATTGGTGATTAGTTTACCGTAGCTCTGACGTTACGGCGGCGCCAGAGTCACACTTTGAGAACTTATCCTCCTGTGACGCAACCTGAAAGCTCCGTATTGCTTAAACGCATATTGACTGTACACATTGCAAAACTTTGAATTAATCTGCGAATAAAATCCTAAAAACACAGTAAATAGCTTAAAACCATCAACCGAGCGAGAAAAAGGACAAATAAGTTGAAGTTTGTGACCCGCTGCAGCTTACAGACGTTTACATTCATTATGTTCAGTTCAAATGGTGGAAGTCAGAAGGTCACCAGAAGCCGGGAGGCGAACGCAACGTGTTAAAATGTCTGACGCACACACCGTCGCTCTCAAACACACGTCTGCACACACGTTCAGACTCCGTCTAATAAAGCTATCTAACGTCACATTCCAGTAGGTTGAGGCGAACTCCAGTAAAAACGCTGCTTTATCGGCACCGTGTGTCTGCAGGAGGCAGCGAGACGGACACGGGAGGCATGAAACAGAAAGAGGAGAAGCAGAGGAAAGGCAGGAGAACGGCAGAGTTTCTGTCTGACAGACTCGGGAGCCTCGCTGATGAAGTGGAGACCACCTATGAAACCTACACTAGACTAACTGAAAACTTGTGTTACAGGGCGACCACTAAGTGTTTAGGTCCATTTATTACTGACGAGACTCAACATTTCCCTTTGAGTAAGCACTGCGGCGCTTTGGTCCTCTGAAGCTTAATCACTGCCTGTGACTTTATTTAAACGGCATGACTTCGTTAATAGTCGCCGCTTTGTTAATACCTTTTAAATTTCCACGTTCATAAAATGCTCAAAACTATATTTAAATACATTCCTGCAGCTTTCACGACCGATTAATCCTTCAACAGTTTGTTAGATT